GTTTCATAAAATGTCAAAAATATAAAATTAAAATAATAAAATAAAGAAGATCTCCTAAATTATAAAATACTCGCTTTTCTTTGAAATAAATTCAAAAAATTTTGTCGTAACAAATACGATAAGAAGCTATTTATAAATGCCTCAATCCACACTAATCCCCGGGAGCTCCGAACAAAACACGTCCACCACGGTCAAAGTCTGGATCACGACTGAAACCGTGTTCTTTATTACAAAATGAGAGACGTCAATGACCCTTTGGGATTATCTCAAATATGCTCATCAAAACAAATAAATGAACAAATTGAAATAGCATGTCGCAGTCTTATGAAAGGCTTTCTAACAATTAGCAATTTAGTGAATTGCTATCAGATTATTCAATTTGATTCCCACTTTTTTACAAATCTATTTAACTTAAATAGATTTAAGTTTATTTTTTAAAAGTGAAGTTTTTTTTATTTTTATTTCTATTATGTTTAATCTGTGGTTCCCAAGGGTGGTCTATACTGAGTCAGGGATTAATAAAATTGGCATATCACAATGAGAGAGGACACAGATTATGTTAGTGATTACAAATTGCTGGAGGGAAAGCAAACCGTTTATTTTACTTCAGGTTTTAACTTTAGGCTCGGAATTAACTTTTAACAATTTTATGTGCTCAAGTATGCATCTAATTACAGCATGCTGTTAGCATTTCATAAGACCGCCTTTCAAATCAAACTGGAGTGGGCACTTGATGTCCCCACCTTCCTTATCATTGCCCAGAATTTATTTATTTATAAAAAAAAGAAACTTGATTAAAAGTCATCGGCTAGAAATCAGTGGACGGGCGTAATTCAAACGTATCTGCCACATGGTGATGAAGGCAGTGCTGGTCGTACGTAAGTATTTAATATTTTTAAATGTTCCCCTGCCAAAAAAAGAAAAGAAAAGAAACTGTCTATCCTTATAGAAATACATATTATGATTAATGATTATTGATTGAATAATGAATTTGGAATAATCGGCCCAATTTCAACTCTTCCGTTCTGAGCAGTACAAATTTCCAATGATTTTTTAAACACCATAATTACTAAAGATAATTAGTCCGTTGACTTTTTCATGGTGCCCCTATTGGAAACTCCACAAATTAGAGCATTTCGGCAAAAAGGTGGTTCTTGTCTGGTTTCCAGGACACATAAGGTTTGAACAGTAATGAAAAGCAAGATGGCTAAGGATGGGACATCCCAACCTCCTTACTTAACCACCACGATGGTCCTTGCTAAAAATGTAATAGAAAATGGCAGCATTGATGGAAGCTTTCATGTCAGAGCTCTGTCGATCTTAATCCAATTAAGAAAAGGCCATGCGAAGTTGACACAGGCACTTACTATTGGGCCAAAGCCCGATGTAGAGAAATTTTGCTTAACGTGAATTAAAGAGCACAATTCCTTGGCTCTATATAGAGAGCAAGAAGGAACACTACCTGGTAGGAGAACTGTGATTGAGCAGGGTAGCATATAATTGGGTGTCCTGTTCCAATTCTTGTTTTTAATTGTATATAGTACGCTTAGTGAGTTTTGAGAGTGAATGTATTTATTCGCTTGAATGTGTAATTGAGGGAGCAGTGTGGCCGATGGCAAAATATTAAGTACCCCATCGACCCTCAATTAGGTTAATTATGTGATATGTGTAAAGGGTGACAGAGAAATAGTACTCCACTACCCTGAGTGAATAGCATGTAAATAAAAAAGAAATTAATTAAGAATGAGTGTGAATGGGAGACTGATTATATTGGGAGCTGCTGATAGACCTGGATCCCAACCACGGTCTCTGGATGGATAAGACCAAACTCTGTTAACACCCGGGGTGGGTGATTTTCGAGGCCTGCTACAATTTTATTGTAAATTACAAAAGCTGTAATAATTGGAGGACTGCTAGATGTGATAGGTTCAATTCTGTACACATGCATATGAATGTGTAGATTTGGGCTTTTATAAATCATTAATTAATAATTGTGTAAAGTTTGCTTTCTAAATTGAGAAATAGATAGGCAAATAGTGATAAATAGTGATATAGTTGATAGATGATACATAGCCGCAAGGCACAGCAAAATGAATATTTAAAACATAAAAAAATTTAATTAAAATTGAAAAATAAAAAAGTAAGAATATGGCAAAAAGAGGGAAAATTTGAAATTTGATGGAGAGTTGGTGTCTGAGAGGATCGAAGTCACAAAAGCTCAAGTGGTGCAGGAGCGGCGTATTTAGCCGAAGGTCATGGGTTTGAATCCCGCTCATAGCACTGACTTTTTATCTCAACCAAAAAACTTTACATAAAAAGAATAATTAATTGAAAAAAGTAACTTGGTCAATTGACCGCTAAAACATAAATGGATAAAGTAGTGTATATTTAAAAATATATATTCTTAATTTGAAAAAATTAATACTTTGTTATCTTTGGAGATAAAGCCAAAATTGGGGCCCAGGTCAATTAATTTGTCCTTCATTAACTAAAAACGATAATGTTTCTCATTCTTAAGTCAATATAAGATACTCATTGATCAAACATTTAGAAAATAAGATTTGGGTTAGTTTATTAAGTTTGAATTTGTCAAAGAGAGGAAGTTGAATGTTCAATCATCAGAACAAGGTTTGTTTAATGGAAGTTTTGAAAATTGCAAGATCTGTAAGCTAATAATTTATTATCCAACTTGGAAACTGTCAGAGTTGTTAGTGGCTTGCTGCTTAAAATTGATTGAAAGCTGAATTTTTTGAAGTTTTATCTATGCTTGATGATGGTGATGGTGGTGGTAATGAGGATATTAGGAAGTGTGCTCCCTAGGCACTGCAGCCTTCTGGCTTATTGTGCCTTCATAGTTTCTTAGTTCCTTGCAATAGACTCAATCCTTCTTAGAAGTATCAGGTAATTGACTGTTGCTGCTACAATTTCATTCCCTAGGTTTTTTCTGTATGTTAGGTTAAATCTACATTCGAAGATGATATGGTGGCTGTTTCCTCCTTCTCATTGCTTAATCTGTAGATGGGATCATCATATATACCATACATATGCCCATGTTGTGTAGATGTTTCTCAGATGCCAGTGACGTTAATAATCCTATCACTCCTCTGAGTCTAGCCCTCTCCAATTGCAGCAGTGAGTTTGCCGGTCTTGGTGAGGGTTGTTTCATCATAAGTTTACTGTATCTAACGCTACTAGAGTTTATCCACTTCTACTTTGGTTTTATTTGGATCCATTCTGCGGGAGGATTCTATATTTGTTTTTGTTATCCAAGTATAGGTTCGGGGCTTATGTATGGTCTTGCAGATCCTCCTCTGGCCAGTCTGTCTGCTTTCTCGTTACCCAAAAGTCCCCTGTGCCCTGGCAGCAAAATATCATTAGGTTGTGTTTCCCTAGGTTTTGGAGATGCATTCACTGACTAATTTTGGTGTGATTCTTTTACATAATAATACTTTCATGGCTGCTTGGCTATCAGATATATGAGGAATTTTTTGCCGGTGTAACCTCTTTTAAGATTTTCTAAGGCACAAGCATTGATGGCATGTATTTCTGCTTGAAAGACCGTAATGTACTTCCCTAATGAGTTTGATTGCTTGTACAATGCTTCATTTTTTCAAGTAAAACTTAAATTTAAACATTTCTTCAACTTCATTTCCATCTAATTAAAAATATGTTGAATCTGTTTGTTTGGATTTTCTTGAACAATCAATGAATATTACAAAAATGCGGAATGTAAGTTACAATAAAATATTCTTATTAAGACGTTTTGCACAATTTGCTATCTTATCGACATTTGTATCTTGAGAAGTGATAAATTTCCATCAGAAAAAGTACCGGGCTCCGCCCAAAATCAAAAACGCCGAAATTAATCACTGCCCAAAATAAACGGGATTTAGTGATTGATAACGGTCTCACTTAAACTTTATCTACGACCACTCGAGGCTTTTGAAACTTTCAAGGATTCCATATCAGTCTTGTAACTGGTTCGACTTTCTTTAGATGTTCAGTTAAAATTTTTTAAACGTATTTGTATGTCATCGTGATGTCGGTGATTGGTCTGCGTGTCGTTGTACAAATGTCGAACCGACCTTTTATTGGGTCCATCTAAACTTCTCAAAAACGAATAGGGATATTTGTAATTTATTCTTATTCTATTAACTGATATATTGTAGATATCCCTATCTAGATAGATGCTAGATAAAACAAAATAGAAAATACAAATCAAAAACAAACAAATGTTAATCCTCTTTTTTAATAACGGATTTACACAGTATAGTAAACAAGCACCTTTTCTCGTCTTTTCATCAATCATATTTTAATCCAATGGTATTCTCTTTAACCTTTAAGGCATCATCTTGAACCAGAATTTCGCAGGCCAAGTGAATATCGCAGAGGCAGTTAGTTCGCTTTTGTAAGAGATTAGTCTCCTGGGCTTCAGCCTGATTTCTTGTGACTGGAAGTGCCAATATGAGGCCTGGTATTGGATCTCAGCGCATTACGACGCTAAATGAGGACAGAAACATTGTCTTTGCTGCAAGCACTTTTCATAGTGCCGGCAAAATCCTAAATGAAGTACAAGATGTTTTGACAAGGCGCCACATCGTAATCGCCCCTTTGACACGACCTGCAGCAACAGCCAACCAACAGCAGCTCAGGAGAATATGGTGCATACGTTTCCCATTGGGGGCCGCAAAGTCTTTAGGAAATGAGGATCTTTAACGTGCGCACCTGGAAAATAGGCCTTATCACACGTTTAGTTTCTCAAGTTAGGAGCAACTCACGTCAGCTCACGGTTGGTGGTGTGAACACCGTGAGGTTCGGTGTAGAAGCCACCAACTATAGCCGTGTACTATTCAAATAGACATGCTGACTTCTCCCGCTTGTCCGTCCAAAGGGGTGAGATAACATTGTGCACTCAACCGTATGCTGCGCGTAAAGGGATATCCGAAAGGGCTGAAATGCATCAGCTGGTTTCTCAATGCGCTCCCTAGATGGAGAGGACCACTCTATCACCCTGAGTGTAGGGGCCCCGTCAGCGTCGAACTACCGAATATGCTCCGGCCATGGTTTCATTAAAGTGGAATTTTTAACCACCCCCTATAGGAGACTGCCTTCGATAAAGGAAGCCCATGCGGGCACACCGAACAACAGACTCTTCTCTAGCTACCCGCCAGGGGTCTCACCTATGGCCAACGACGGGTCCATTCCCACATAGCACGCTACCGGGCATGGAACTGAAGAACTGTGCTATCCCGCCGTACAGCTGGTTATGCACCCTCCCTCGTCTATGGAAACAGATATCGTACGCTAACCCACGTGTGCCGCTGATCAAGCACCCCCGTCCACGGCTAGCTTGCAAGCCAACAAGTCCCTTAACGCATTTCGAAGGCCTAGGTAGGCGTAGTCTTTGCATCCTCGCACGCTTTCTTGCTCCTATGATGCAAATGCACGGAGAGGGTCTTAAGGAGATCATGTGCGCCAGGAAACAGAACACCTTGTGCTTCAGAGAGTGTGCCAAGTACTCAAGGCTATGCCATTATTTTGTGCCTGGAAACCCCCCCTTGCAACCAAGGTTGGGAACGGATTGTTGGAGTCTCCTAGGAGCACCCACTGCACAGTCCCGGAAATGGGACTGAGAGAAAAGGGCATGCCGAGGCCCAGGCTCACCTTTGCAGGATACACCCAAGCCACACGAAATTCTACAACACGAATCTACCTCTCTTTTTTCACGTGGACCTTAATCATTAAGGTACGGCTCCTCTGAGGGAAGAATATGTTGCAGCGAGGGCCTAGAAGGGAACCAATTTGAATGCTGTTATGTTTACTGATGTGTCACGTTTCTGTCTGTATAGTGGTAGCAGGCGCCGAGGAATCTACCGTGAACAGAGAATGCGTACCATGCCCCAGTTCGTGCTCCGTGGGGATTTTCGATTTCTGGATGACAATGCCAACCTTATAAGAGGCAGAGTTGTCCTCAATGTTTAGAAAACCTGCGAATTTCCCATCTACCCCTTCTCCCATTGTCTCCAGACCTCAATCCCATTGAGCACATGATGCATTGCAGAGAAGGCTTTCCGATCACTATCCACAGCCAACAACTTTGCAGCGTTGCAACATCTATGGAGGGAAATTCCTTATGAAATTAGTGACAACCTTATTAATAAGAAGATTATACAGAACATTATTCACGGTATTGTTTGTTTAAAAAAATATTATAACCAATTAACAAAATTATATAATGAAAACCTTTTTTAGTTATTTTTTAAAATCGTTTAATTAAATTTTCCTTCTGTCAAAACATAATAATTTCTAATAAATTTGAATCCAATTTATCATAATTATAAAATAAAAATGCTAGGGAAAGTATTTACTACAAAATTAGCAATATCCCTATTCATTTTTGAGCAGTTTACGACTGAAGATGGTGTAACGCCGAAACGCGTTTGAGTAAAACGTAAACCGACGAGAATAGACGGACTCAGTTCGACAAAACTGAAAGACGTTTTATGTAAGACGTTTCAAAGATGGAAAACAGTAACTTTAGAGTAAACGCACATACAAGCCACCCAGTTTTAGTTTTTATTCTGACACTAATTATTAAAATCCACTGTCTGTGAAATGTTTACCGTTCTTTGTCTGACAGTTTCAGTTTTGGCCGTGTCCGCTTGGGCTGGCCAGGCTTGCACCCGCGAAGGGGAAAAGACACCTGTCCCGGGCAGGTGTTCTTACTACACCTTCTGCGAAAACGGGACGACGACACTGCAGAAGTGCGGTTTCGGGAAAAAGTTCAGCAACGAGACCCTGAACTGCGAATGGTTCTGGAAAGTCAACTGCAAAGACTGGGCGTCGGAATGCGAGGACGGATTGCTCTACAACCACCCGACCAGTTGCCGGGCCTATTATTCCTGCTATGGCAATCGGCTCAGAGTCGAATACTGCCCGTTCCTGTACTCTTTCAACGGGGAAGAATGCCAGTTTTTAGCTTCATGCCCGAAGGTGATGCATAGAAAAATATATTTTAAAAAAATTATAAACATTTTTGTTTTGTACGTACAGGGTGATGAATGCGTGGGAGAAGAAATCAGAGCGGCAGATTGTAATAGTTATGACGTGTGTGTAAAAGGCAAATGGGTTCGAAAAAGCTGCGGGTTCCAAAGGACCTTCGATTTTGTTGCAAAGAAATGCGTTTTTGGAAGCTGTTCAAAATGCGATCCTGGATTGAAGCAGACTGTCGATGGGAGCTGTCATAAGTATGCCACGCGACACCGATTTTTAGCTTTGACTAAATATCTTTTGTTCTAGGTACAAGGAATGCGATGGTAACGAGTTCGTCGAGAAGACCTGTGGCCTGGCAAAGATATTCAATTCGGCGACAGGCTCGTGCGACTGGTTTTTTAACGTGTACTGCCACCCTGCGAACAACCAGTGCTCTGGAAATTATTCTCTTTGCGCCGATCCCACTTGCAAATCATACCACGTCTGCGAAAACGGCAAACTGAAGACTACGAGCTGCGGGTTTCTGGAGAAGTACGACCAGAAAAAGGGCAGCTGCGTTCTGTTGGCCCTGTACGAAGACTACAGCGGTTACGGACAGCAATGCCAAGAGGGCACCCTACAGCCTGATTCGGATTGTTCCAAGTTCCAGAAATGTGTCAAAGGGAAATGGCGTACCATGAGTTGCCCCAAATATCAGGCTTTCGACGCTCACATGAAAATGTGTCTGTAAGTAAAACTTTTTGCAGTTTGGCCTACACGAAAAACAGGCACTCTCCATGATACTGTTTTTCCTTTATCCGTTACTTAAAATAATACTAATCTTTTTACCCACAAGGCGAGTATGATAATTATTATTACTATTTTTTTATGAGGGTTCAACTGCAGAGATCATATCAACCCTAGTGATGCGGTGTTTTTTGAGAAAAACTCCATTTGTAAGTATGTCTGTTTCGAATGCAGGGACCATTATCTTACAGTGATGAGCGCCGTGTCAACACCTTAACTACGGCCACCGACGCCCCCTAAGATAATTATTATTTATTTTGGTAATTGGCGATAAGAGAAAATGCATTTTCTGTTAAAAATGACTGTTTAGTGTGGTTTAGCACTTGAGAACTTGATGTAATGAATGATAGTGCCCGAACGTTTTGTGTAGCGTAGTGAATCCACACTAATCGAAGAGCATCTTGCAAAAAAATAAGTCTAGAGTGAAGCTATCAATAGACCCAATTATCCAAGAGCCTCCTTGCGACATTTGAAAAAAAAAAAACTACTGCAGAATGCATCCATAGACACAGGACAAGACTCAGAATAACAGGTTTCTTGATGTACTGCAGGCTAAATGGGTACTTGATATTGGTGCTTCAACACGATGTATTTAGATTCTGGAAACCTACCTACTATCAGAAGAAAATGTGTTCGACCGCAATGCAAAAAAAGAAATACAACCACTACAGCTAGGGCTTATAATCCAATTCTTTAATTCATTAGGACGAAACGGTGTATTATAGGTACGGAATAGGGAACAGCTGTTAAAGGGCTATTGCACGCCGAAGAAGAAAAGAAATTGTAAACAACTCAAAACAATCAACATCAACATTTATATAGCCTTGTAGTTATATCATACATCATTACTAATTTCTGCTAGGGAAACACATATACATTAGTCTTTTCTAGTCTTTATGTTCCGTCTAACCTTGAAATCGCTAGTTGGTGTTGTTTTTGACTTCTTGGTTTTCATTGCTTTTGTAGTTTCATTGTGAAAGGTGAAAGGATTTTGAACCGGCACAGGGTCACTTACTGGGTTTGACTCCACTCGCGGGTTTTTGAGTTATTGAAACGCATTTTTTGCGTTGTGCAAAAAATGAGGTTCCTCACCGAAGAAGGCGCAATGCCAAAACTCGTTTATGGAGGCAGACCCAATAAGAGACCTTGTGCCGGTTCAGCATAAATATTCGCAGACCGAAACCCATTTGGAAACCATGAAGGGATTTGGCCGGTGCTGTTTTTCTTGGTCTTTGACGGATTAAGTCTGAAGTTATTGTTCCTGCTGTTAATTTTTTTCCGAGAGACAGAAACATCTGCAGTTGCATGTCCNAGCAGTATTGCTTTGACGAACCTGTCACCAGTATACATAAATAACCAACCTATCGTTAAAAATTCCTCTACCTTAGGTTCTACTTGGAAAGCCCGCATACATTGCCATACTCTAAACTACGAAGAATCAACAACAAGAACTCAACTGGAGATACGGACACCACAGATTTGACTTGTAAGGGAAAGTATGCAACAAAATACTAATCGTCTGATTAGTTTATGATTGGTTTTTATTTGGACTTAAGGAGTCGTGTGAACCTCAGCTACTGTGAAGCTCAGCCACACCTACCAACATCCGGAGAATCCCATACTTTCAATCCAAAGTCTTCCTCTTCGCTCCCTTATACGAACACCCCCTTAAACACACCTGCACAACATAACTTCTTTTCCAAGGCCCAAACACTCTTTTCACTCCAGCCCACTAGCTTAAGCCCTCTCGTCAACGCCCCACCCTAATTCTTCTATAAATTCTTCATGCCGTATAAGAAGACAGTGGTCTCATAATCTATTCACCCCTAAACCAATCCTTCTACATAGAGTTAGTACAGCAATGGCCTCACAGGCCAGATTTTTGTTTCTATTGTTCCATACACTGTCAATGTAAATACATATTGTAACAAATATGTAAAAAATTATATGAAACCCTTTGTATAATAATATTTATTGTAGTTAGTATGTGTTAGTATAATAATATTATACTCTTGTGTAATTTATTATTTCGTCCTTTTTACAGGTTCCAGGATGAGGCGCAGTGCAGCGAGACATCCTGCCTCGAAAATCATGTTTACGTTGATAAATCGGATTGCTACAAATACTATAAGTGTATCAACCACAAGAAAGTCTTGACGCCATGCGGTGTGCTTCAATATTTCAATCCAAAGACCATGCAATGCGTGTAAGTGTATTTAGAAGAAAGCCACGATTCTAACAAAAAGGCCGTTGTGCTTTGTAATTTTGGCTAAGTTTAGAAGAATTATTTAATAATAATGACTTTTTATATTTTAGGGTGTACAATCCGTTTTCACCGCCGGAATGCGACAAATTGCAGTGTCAGGAAGGCGTTATGAGAGCAACAAGCGATAAATTCGTCTTCGAACAGTGCCAGAATGGCGAATGGTCCAAACGGGACTGCTTCACCGGTTTCGACTCAAAGACCGGCCCGAAGTGCAAGGACGGTGCGAGGAAGTCTGCGGAAAACGAGACGGAGTACTACGAGTGCGAGAACGGACTCTGGAGGCTCCAGCGATGCCCTCCTGAAGCTGTACGTTTCGACGTGGAGTCCGGCAAATGCGAGGCCAAGAGGGAGAAAAGAGATGCCGGTTGCGCCAAGGGGACAAAAATGTAAGATTTATTTATCACTGACGTCCCTCTTTTTTCCTGGGAGAAATAATTAATAATCAAGCTGCTTCTAACATTTAAGTATATTATTTTGGTATACACTCAAAGACAAAAACCTGGACACACTTGTGTTTATTTTTTTACATATTTTCCATAAGTATAAAGTGAATAGTTGACTGAAAACATAAACACAGCATTAATAATTTGTTGTTTAGCTTTCCAGGGTCTTACTAATCCTTTTACACTCTTTAGATTAAAAGTAATGAAAATCAGTTCAATTTCATCCATTCCAGAATGAATTTGTCGAGCGAGTTAGTTGGCTTTTATAAAATGTTTTCGATTTTTCACCCATCACAACAATTAAAGCTGGCGTTCCACAAGGAAGTATACACTTCTACACTGCTAACATACGTACACATCCAATCACACAATGCAAACGTCACCGTAATCTTATTTACACACTCCAATCCTATCCTAGCCACAGAAGCAATCTAGCATCTGAACCTCACTATCGAATGGTGCACTCGGCGGCGGATCAGGTTGAACGAAAAAAGCCAACAAGAAATTTTCGCTTTTAAATCAACCCTGCTCACCAGTGCACATGAACAAGGTTGTACCACCATCCAACCCAGTCCGCTACTTGGGCTTAGATAGCAGACTTCCACGAAACCAAATACAACACTAAAACATCAAGAACTTGACAAAAGATAAGGACTATTCATTGCTTTTGTAGTTTCATTGTGAAAGGTGAAAGGATTTTGAACCGGCACAGGGTCACTTACTGGGTTTGACTCCACTCGCGGGTTTTTGAG